ATATCCATGAACTGGGAGATTTGGGGGAAATGGAGGAGGGGGTTTGGCAAAAAATAAGAAAAACAAAGCAGAGCGGTCGTCCGTCCGTCTACTGTCTTTTTTTTTTCTGGCTGGCGTTCTGGCACTGGGTGTGCTCTCTGTGTCTCCCAATGGTTGGGACTTGGGCGTTATGGTTGAAAGGTTGATTGTTGATTATCTGCATCTGCTGCACTGAAGCATTGGTCAGTTCCGCTCTTGTGGGTGGCCTCCATAGCCTGTGATTTTTAGTTTTACTTTAGGGAGGTCGACGGGCGCTTTCGCCTGCTGAAAATATATGTTCCCTGTACTGAACAGCGCTGGGCTGGATCACTTGTGACATCTATTCCCAGCATGCTCTCCTGAGTAAGGTACTTGAGCAGGACCAACCATAGATAACTTCTGTGAGCACCTCAACCCATGTCATCATCACGAAAGAAATCAGACTGCCTGACATTTGCCCTACCATCAGACAACAGGCTAGAGCCTAGGGAAAATAGGCACAGTATCGCGTAAACCAAGCCTCGCGAGGACCCCATGTATACTAGCAGGCAGCTATCCCATGGTAGTCATGGGCTCTCTTCGCAAGCTACACGGACCAATTCACGCTCTTCAGAACAGCGTCGAGTCTGTCAGTTTGTCAGTCTTGACCATAGAAGCACGCTTAAAAAAAAGAATCAAAATACCTCTTTAAGCCTTCGGTGATGATCGGCCGCTTTTGCGTGTAAACGAGACGAAACTTCCCAGCCTCGAGAGCATGCTCCTCCCCCGGATGCAGGAAAACCCCACCAGCTACCAGTTTCTCAGCCAGCGCAAACTCTCTCTTCTGCGTGGTATCATATACCTCGCCTTTAGGTGGCAACCAAGGCGCCAGATCGATCAGCACAAAGTACCCCGCATTGGCCTCGAGATATGATATTCCAATCTCACTTAACCTGCCCGTGACAAACTTGTATGCGTCGCCAATGCGTGTTCGGGCATTGAGTATGAAGGCGCGACACCACTCTCGGTCCTCGAACATAGCCGTGCCGATGGTGACGGACATGCCCGAAGGTTCGTGAAACCGGCCGACAGCCTGGACAGAGCGCTGGAGCTCGCGATTCTTGGTGATGAGCGCCCCTAGACGCAGGCCCGCGGCTGCAAAGTCCTTGCTCGTGCCGTACTCGACGTGAACTAGGTTCGGGTCGATGAGATTCGCAAGGTCAATAGACAGCACCGATGTGAAGGGGTGCAAGCCATGGCTTGAGTCCGTTCCGGGGCCAAAGACTGAGAGAGCGTATACTTCATCGCTAATGAGATGGAGCTGGTGCTTCTGACAGAGCTCGAGAAATCCTACCAACGTCTCGCGAGGGTAGCAACGACCCAGGGGGTTACTTGGATTCACAACTAGCACCGCCTTCACCTTGATACCGCCAACCTTGGCCCTCTGCAAGGCATCTTCAAAATCAACAATGATAGAAGGTTCAAGCGCTTCTGCAGAGGCGGAGTCGGCATAGACCACTTTGACGCCCATGGCGTTGCCCAGGTCTAGTTCGAAACGACCATACACAGGGCGTGGGGCAAGGATGGCATCGCCCTGCTCGGCTAGGGAAAAGGCGAGCATGGAATGAAGAGAAGTAGCACCATTGGCAACCTGTATATCCGAAGGCGAGATTGGGGAGAATGGCTCGAATGTCTCGTTGACATGTGTTGCGAGAGCGGCGGCGAGGCGGGGTCCGCCAAAGCTGCTGTAGCCATATGTGAAGGAAGCAGGCGGAAATTCTACCTAAACGATGTTAGGGTCGGTAAGAACTCGCCTTGGGTAAAAAAACTTACCTTTGAAGAAAACTCGGCGAGATCATCGTACATCAAGGGGTTCTCAGCCTTTGCAAGGGAGATGATACCTTCAGGATTGGATTCGGCATCGAACAGATCCTTGGTGGCTGGGGTAAATCGCCATGGGATGTCCAGTTGCGCCAATGTTGTGGCGGCCCGAGTCGATAACATTGTTTTCGCATCCAGTTCCTGGCTGTACAGAGGGAGGTTAGTTCTTTTGAATGATCATGCAGTATGTGCTCGAGGTTCAAGAAACAGGCCAAAGAGGTAGCTGGCACGCCATTATGTGCTCACAAACCAGCTCACTGACGACGAAGCGGGGCAGAGTGTCAACCGGCATTTCACCAGCCCTGTAAAGCCTTCTAGGAATAGAGCCAGCTATCTTGTGAGCCCACGAAGTTGAGCAGCGATCCACATCTTCTCGAGAGATGAGACGGACACGCGCGATAACAGGACCATTGCTGGATGAGAATTGCGTTTGCAGTGCAACAGCTCTACAAAATGTAAACTCAATCTCAAATGACCGCCTCGTGACAAAGCACGACTACGCCTGGCCGAGGACTGTTACCCTAACGCTTGTCATCACTCCTGACAACTGTCGAGATAGTGACCGTCACTGCTGCTTCCTTCTAGCGGCCGCTACGAAGCAAGCACATGCCTGTTGGGATCTTCGGGCAGGGCGTACTGGGTAATAAAAATGCAGCCCATCCCGACATCTTACAGACATGGTACAGGCATCGAAGCATGTTGCCGCAGCCGATGCTCTGCGTTCGTGCAAGGTGTGCGCCAGTACAATGGGTCAGATGATACACAAGGCGCGTTGATGGTGTCCGGCGGCATGTCTTGGTAGGAGCGCAGTCATCCTAGGCACCTTTGCTGGAAAACATGCGCGACATGAAGATCGCAGTTCAAGCATAGCAGACAGGATGAAGTGTGTGAAGCCAGCCTGCGCCTGTCAATATCATGCCACGTGGAGCTGCTCTCAAGTAATCAACGTTCCGCGGGCGAATTATCCAATTCAGGCGATGCCAGTAACAAGGAGTGCTGGGTACAAGATTCAACACAGGAACAGCATGTGACCCATCATTTCCCCTCTGGCCATTCGATAAGGAGATGGGCAGGAGGGTGCGTTAGGGACGAGCATGGGTGAGCGGTCCGCCAGTCTGACGTGCATAGCACGATTCGCTGGAAGATTGGAAGGTCTGTAGATGACGAAGATTCTCTCATTGCTGGACGGGACGAAAATGGAGCGGGTGAGGCAGGTGGAAGGGTGATCGAGGGTGACAGACGAGAATGATCAAGCGTCGTGAATGACATTGTGTGCTGGCTGAACCATGCGTCAATCAAAAAAGTCGGCCTGCCGCAGACCCAAGAGTGTTGCGGGACATGGCCTGTCCGAGGAAGAACGTCGAGGAGAGACACACTTGGAAGCATGAAGCCCAGCGTTATTGGCGGGTCCAGTCTGATGGCGCAGACAGGTTGGTGCTGGTTGGGCGGCAGGGGTGGGTGGGCTGGGTCGCGGAGAGTTGAAGGGTGTGTTGGCATGGTGGCCAGCCTCGTGGACGATGCAGATTGGCTGAGTGGTCGAGGGGTGCGGTCGGAACGGGACAGATGGAGGTCAGTGGTCGCAGGGTAGAGGTTGAGGGGCAGACGGCGGAGACGGTCATGCCATGCGATGCAGTGCCAGCTCAGGGAGGCAGAAGCAGAAACGAGACACCAGGTGCTCCTGTGTCCAAGACGGGGTCGCAGGAGGAACGAGTCGCTGGGCGGGTCGAGGGAACGGCGAAGCGAGCCGGCTGTGTGCTGTCGCTGCATCTCATCGTGTTTGTCTGGGAAAAGCACAGATGAGACGTTGACAGATTGTGGCCGACCACCGAGTTGTCGTAGTGGCCATCGGAATCACCAGCACACCAAACCAAGTGGCAAGAGGCGCGTGCTGTACATATCAATAGGCTGACGTGTGAAGGTGTCTAGAGTGCATCAAGTCAGCTGAATGTGTCGCCGTTGGCGTCCTCGAGTAGCTACATGTCTTCGCCAAAACAAGATACGACAGATGGAAGTTGGGAAGACAGCGAGGGCACCGAGGATAATGGGCGACGCGACCTGAGATCCGTCCGGAGGTTCGGTCGGTGATGAGCAGGCCGTTGGATGGCAGGAATCCTCCCTTTGTCCATGTTGGGGAGGGTGTTCGGCTGTTGAGTGGAATGGACGGGAGGGGCAGGCAAGGGGGGCGTTCCCGCCCGATGCCAGTGCCAGCACAGGGTCGCTAGGATGGAAGTTAGCGCCCACGACACACCCCTGTTCAGGGCAGGTTTTGCCCAATGCCCAATACCAGTGCTTCCTTCCCACCACAACCCCCCTGCTGTCCACGTCTCCAGCCACTGCAGGTTCTAACCTAGAAGCCGGCTGCTGCTACCTAGCTACCTAGGTACCCAGCTTGATGCTTGGTGGGTGCTTGCTGCTTGCTGCTTGCTGCTGGCTGCCTGTCCACTCACTGCCTGCTCGTTGCGCGCTGCGTGCTGCTTGTCAGGGAAGGCGAGGCACGAGGGACCAATAGCCTGGCATTGCGCCTGCCAGGACGGATGACCGACAGTCCAAAGACCGGCCTGACCTGGTCCGGGACGCACTGACCTGTGACGCTGTTGAGCCATGGTGGCGGCGATGGCAGCCGCGATGGACCTCACGGTCCTGGTCCTGCCCCTGTTGTCCCTGCTGCCAGCCATCCCATCTCGGGTCAAGGTGGATCATGAACATCCACGACCCTCTGCAGCTTCCAGTTTCCAGCTTCCAGCTTCCAGGTCCTCATCTTCCCCCCCTTCGTCTTTCCACACTTGAAAACACCATTTACCTCGTTCACCGTGCCCTCCGATGACTCGTCTTCAGTGTGTCGCCAGCTGACCGTTGCCAACCTTCTCCTTCTTACCTCTCTCTCCCCTTTCTCCTCCCCCGCCATCCGACTCGCTCGCCCTCCCCCGCCGCAACCCCGATCACACGATCGCGACGTCGCCCGCACAAGACCGTCCCACCAACTGACGCTTTTGCCCAAATAGCCACTCTGACGAGACGCTTAAAGTTGTGGCCTGGGACGATCCGACTGAAACCCATATTCCGTTGCCTTCAGTCGCTGCTTCAGCGTCTTCGTTGCGGTCCACCACCTCCATGGGCGCATAATGATTTCCATGCAACGCTCCCTCTCGTCGCCCGTTCGCATACATTCTTCCTCAGCTCGTATGTCCAGGCGGTCACACTAGTGCGCGGGACAACTACTGTTGTCATCAACACTCTTCTCACTGCTACCCTCCGCGCCGTCCATCTACCTGGACCACTGCTAACCTGCGCCATTCGTGCCTGCAGCCCTCTCCCCCGACGACGAGAAGCTCCCCACAAGCGCGAACTCGAGATCGCCGACGCCCTCGCTTGACGACCATGCCTCCTTCTCCCGGCGCATGCGACGCCCCTGCTCGCCGAGCCCCCCGCCAGTTTCCAACACCAATGTTTCGCTGCCTTTGCGCCGCAATGACGACGCACCAAGGCGGCCTCTCTCACAGCAGTATGGCGCGACAGCCAGCGCCAGGAAGCCAGTGATTGCTCAACCCGTGACGCCCTCTTCCACATCCCCCGTCAAAGCTGCTGCTCCTAAGACCCCCCCGTCTGTACCTTCTGACACCGGCGCTGCTCCTTTTGCTCCGAGTCTTCTTCCAGAGTTGTCTCAGTACTCGAGTCCGTTCCAGGCACACGATAGTTCCGATGGCACTACTTTGGAGGAACTCGCCCACCTGGTTCGATTATCTAAGTACCAGGAGCGCAAGCGCGCCAACACTAGGATCCGTTTGCAAAGGAACCTGATTTCGACTGCTCTGTCTGCTCGACTGACTCGGTGTGGTGAGATTGCCCGCAGGAACCTAGCAGATTGTTTCCGCAAGGACGACAAGAAAGTCTTTGGGCCCCTTTTCAACGCCATTCATGATGTCCGAAAAAGCTGCGATGGTCTCCGTCAGTACGCTCTTCTGGAACCCGAAATGGATACCTTGTCCGATAATTTGGAGGCTTCCTCAAGCACACCTGTCTCTGCTGGTCCCTTGGCTGCTGTTGCACCATTTCTTAACGAAATACCAGCCTCAGCAAGGGAGACGTTTCTTAACTTTCTGAACCAGATACGGACCAACCCGGATTATCTAGCTACTAGGCTTTGCACCCTGACCACCACTGAACTGAATGCCCTTACCAGCTTCCATCAAGTACTGGAACCCATCGAGTCTGTCCTGCCTTTCCATGGTCGACCCGCCCCGCGAACCCACGCATCCGGCAACTCGAGTCGATATTCGACGCAGCAGAACACGGCCATCGAGCGCCTACTCTCCTTTCAACGGCATGATCCTCTATCGGCTCTCATACATACCTGCTTCGCCAACTCGGCTGGGCCAGACAGCGCAGAGGATCGGAGACGAACTGATATCTGGGCAACCGCCATGGCCAAGCTGATTACGGATTCCAGGGCGAACAAAGTCCAAAGCGAGCACATGCTTATTTCTGTCATGAATGTCTGGACGACCATGCGTGACTGGGCCGGAAAATCCAATATGGAATGGTATCTCATGAAAAT